AAAGTAACACATTCTAAGTTGAGCGCTCTAACGCTAGACCAATATAGCACTTCAGTGCTATAGCAGCACCATTGAGATGCCTTGACTCAACGGAGTCAGTGTTTGAAATGACCATAGTGCTTCAGAGACGGCTTATTAATGGAGGGAAATTCTCTGTACGAAACCCCCGTCCCTGTATCACTTTCCTCGAAATTGGGCCAACAATTAATAACATCCAGTTTAGCTGTAATGTGAAAAGGGCCTCTGTGGAAAAGCCCTGAGTTAATTGACTGACGACTTCATGGCGCAGGAGCCAAACAACAGTTCTAAAACAAAAAGACTGTGTTCTTTCTTCTTATGTGAGGGCTGTACAAGACCCCACCTCAGAAGAGAACAAATGTAACGAAAACAGTTGTGAGAGTCTGACCCACAGATCAAGCAGTCAACAAGACTTGCAAAGAAAACGCTTTCTGTACATTATGGTCAACAAGCACTTCAACACAATAAACAAATTCCTTCAAAATACATCATTGACGTCGTCTCTGGATTATATAACAACATTTCAAAATTGGATCTTCCTCAAGAAATATTAGAGTAGTACAAAAGCTCTCTTGCTCATAAAGTGCTTTACAAAAAATCAGGAAAGGTAATACTTTTAGATAGGATTCCAGGTGAGACACCTGGGATCCATTAGAACGTTAGCAGCATATTTGAGCCTGAATACTTATTGAGATCAGCGTCCTATCTAAATTTATTATCGTTCATGACTTTTTGTAAAGCACTTTATGAACAAGAGAGCTTTTGTACTACTCTAATATTCCCTGAGGAAGATCCAGTTTTGAAACGTTGTTATATAATCCGGAGACGATGACAATGATGTATTTACACACTAGGATTTTCTTATGATTTGAAGGAATTTGTTCATTGTGTTTTTCCTGTGCGTTCCTGCTCAAAAATAGCCCTGGCTGTACTTATATGGGACGTAAATGGAGATCCACTTTGTCTAAGATTTTTTTGACTTGATAGACAAGACACAGATGGAGGTGAACAACAAAGGTTTATTTAACAAAAAATAAAGTGTTTAAGAACTTAGATATATAAAGTAAAACTACTCTCAAAGGAAGTAAATAACCCCTGAGGGGAGATTTGCTTCATCTTTCTCAGGACAGGTAACCTCACAGAGCCCTTTTCCACAGAACCTTCACATGCCAGTTAGGAGGAGGAGGAGATGAAGAAGAGGAGGAGGAAGAAGAAGAGGGGTGGTAGTAGTTGGATTTATACCCTGCCATTTACTCGGAGTCAGAGAGGCTTACAATCGCCTTCCCTTCCTCTTCCCACAACAGACACCCTGTGAAGTAGGTGGGGCTGAGAGAGCTCTGACAGAACTGCTCATGAGAGAACAGCTCTGAGAGAACTGTGACTGACCCAAGGTCACCCAGCCAAGCTGCATGTGGAGGAGTGGGGAATCAAACCCGGTTCTCCAGATTAGAGTCCATCGTTCTTAACCACTACATCCAAACTGGCTCTCTCTAAGCCTTTTAATGACTGATGGTGAAAGAGTGTTTATAGAGAATTTTCTTTTTCTGGGTCTTTTCACTGTCGCTCTATTGCAATTTTATTTCAAGAGTTTTGCACTGTTTTTGAGGCAATCTTTGAACTTTTTAGTGATCCGTATTCCATTTTTTTTTCCACAGCAGAACAGGAGCCTCCAGAGTCTCTAAATAAATAAATATGTGAATGAATAAGTAAATAAATAAGACTGGCCCCCAAACGTTGAAAATATTTCACTCTATGAACGGTGGCAACGTTTCTTCCTCTTCGTTTGATCAGGGCTACAATCCCATATCGGACATGTTCTGAAATAAGCGCTATTACATTCTATGGAATACACTTTCTTGGGAGCCAATTCCATTGACCCAAGCACTGATTACGCGGCACTGGGCCGCAGAAGGTTTCTAGCCAATCCATCTAGCTGAAGAATCAACCGCATGGGGCATGCCTAACCCCCGTCTTCTTGACCAAGAGGAAGCCAGGATGCACCTTTTGTAGCCGAGCATCATCCTTTCCTTCTGGAGTGGACATGACAGCAAACCAAAGCTAATGAGGCAATAGTGACTGTCTAGTCGGCTCTCTGCGGTGCTTCATGGTTTACTAACCCCCCGCTAGATCCTCTTAAGCACCAAAGGGGGCAGAAGCCTATCAACTTGCATTAGAGGCCCAAACGCCGAGACCAAGAAACAGCGTGACCTTATTAAGAGGTAAGGGAAGACATTTTAAAGCCACTTGTAGCAGCTGTTCATGGAGAGACTGTTACTTTGCTCTGTCGTTATGATGTTTACTCACGGGCACAGAATTCCGAATCCAAAGAGTCTCACGTTTTCCTTTTTAAAAAATATAAAGCTAATTTCTAGTCCTTATGCAATGATACATCTAGGGCTGCCCGTTGGAATGAGCGACTCAGCATGCCTGGGCACCGGGGGGCGCTACATCACTCTAAGTGTATATAGGTGCTATCTCCTTGAATGGGATGCCGCTCTTTGTCTTAACCTGGGAGCTGCCCTCTGACCCCTCCTCCCTCCCTTTGTCCTCTCACTCTCTGCACATGGCCTTCCATGAAGACACACGTCTCTGTCTCTACAGGTCTCTCCTGGAGAGACAAGGCCCTCATACTCCCACACGCACATGATGCCGGACAGGCTGGCCTTTTGTGAGAGAGAAAGTACTCTTTAGATTAGGTTTCTCTGTCTCCTTTTGACCATAATCTGAATGTGAACTGGATCTACTTGAATGAACGTAAGGCTGATTCTGCATTCTCTTTTCCCTCCATTGTTGTACAAAACCCATGTTGGAACAGAAATTCCCCTCTGCATTGCATGCTGCTTTCACTTCCTTTGATCATCGGATTTTATGGTAGCCTCCACACTCCATGTCGCTTTCGCTTTCTTTGATAATTGGATTTTATGGTAGCCTCCACACTCCGGGCCACTTTCGCTTTCTTTGATCATCGGGTTTTATGGTAACCTCCACACTCCAGGCCGCTTTCGCTTTCTTTGATCGTCGGATTTTATGGTAGCCTCCACACTCCATGCGGCTTTCGCTTCCTTTGATCATCGGATTTTATGGTAGCCTCCACACTCCATGCCGCTTTCGCTTCCTTTGATCATCGGATTTTATGGTAGCCTCCATAAAAATCCTGGTGGCAGTCTCACGCTGCTATGACTGGGCAAACTCTATTATATTAACCAAATACCTCAATATTGTCAACTCTGGGTTGGGCAATTCGTGGAGATTTGGGGGTGGAACCTGGGATGGGCAGGATTTGGGGAGGGGAGGATTTGGCCCCACTGCTGGACCTCCTGAGGGCCCCTGGTATTTCTGGCCACTGCGTGACACAGAGTGTTGGACTGGATGGGCCATTGGCCTGACCCAACATTGGCATCTCTTATGTTCTTATGACCTAGGCAGCATATAATACCATAGAGGTCTCCTTCCAAAGTGGCCATTTTCTCCAAGGCAGCCGATCTGTTGTAATTCTGGGAGGGCGGCACCCCTAGCCTAAAGTGATCCCTCAGCCCCCATTCTGGGTTCTGAGATTTCAACAGGAGCTGATCAGGATTGTTCCGTGGTCTGAGGATGGATCAAAGTGGCCCGTGCAACTCTTTGCCCCCCTCCTGAGGGCCACCAAATGGCAAATAAGTTAGCTGTAATATATACAGACTTCCTTCCAGTTTGGTGCAGTGGTTAAGTGCGCGGACTCTAATCTGGGAGAACCGGGTTTGATTCCCCACTCCTCCACTTGCACCTGTCTGGATGACCTTGGGAAAGCAGTAGTTCTGATAAGAGCTGTCCTTGAAAAAGAGCAGTTTCTGTCAGAGCTCTCTCAGCCCCACCTGCCTCACAGGGTGTCTGTTGCAGGGAGGGGAAGGGGAAGGAGATTGTAAGCCGCTCTGAGACACCTTTGGGTAGTGAAGGGCGGGGTATAAATCCAATCTCCTCCTCCTCCTCCTCCTCCTCCTCCTCCATTTAATCACCTGCCCAGGAATTTTGGTTTTCTTGAGACAAAATTTTGATTCTGTTGAAGGGTGGTCTGCGGCCTGTGGTTGCTCCGTCTCCAGCCTCAAACTCGCCCTTCCCGTCCCTTCCACTGCCCCAGTTTCCCAGCACTCTCCTGCCTACTGAGTCTTCCTTCCTTTCCTGCCTGCCCACCTCTCCACACCTCTGGCAGAACTATGGCTTGCCCAAGGTCATCCAGCCAGGTGCAAGTGGAGGAGTGGGGAATCAAACCCGGTTCTCCCAGATTAGAGTCTGCACACTTAACCACTACACCAAACTGGCTCATATAGGAACACATATCTCATATAGGAACTGTTGGGGGTACCATCCCATTCATCCATCACTGGGGGTATGCCAGATGGAACCAAAAACAGCCTTCCCCTGCTGGCGAAAGACACCAGTAGAGGAAGCCAGACAAATCTCTCGGGGGAGGGGGTTCCAAAGTTTTGGTGCTACGACCGAGAAGGCCCTTTCTCGGATCACCACCTGTCTAGCTTCAGATGGCAGGAGCAACAGAAGCAGGGCCTCCAAAGACAACCAGAGTGAACGGGTTTATATGGGAGAAGGCAGCCCTTAAGGTATGTCACTCCCAGACTGTACAGAGCTTTAACAATCAATTCCAGCACCTTGAATGGAGCCCAGAAGCAAATCGGAAACTAGTGAAGATGGAACAAGACTGGAGTGAAATGGTCCCTGCAACCCACTCTAGTCAACACTCTGGCCACAGCATGCTGTAGCTTCAAGACAGTCTTCAAGGGTAGCTCCATGTACAGCATGCTGTAGTAGTCTAACGTAGTTGTTCCCAGGGCATATACCACAGTGGCAAGAGACAGAGAGAGAGACGGATCTGCACAGGAACAAGCCCTTCGCTATCAAATGAAAGGACTGAAATCTTTGTGCAACTTGGCACACTGCTCACGACCTGCAATCTAGTTTCTGTACAACTATCTATCTTGTGGGTTTGTTACCTTTTGCAGATGCCAGCCGGCAAATGGGGTCCGCTTCTCGTGCCATATTCGGAGCTTGTAAAAGGTGCCCAGATCTGGGAGTTCGATCTGCAGGAAGAAGCACCAAGAGGTTCATAGTAGCATTTTCTTGTTAGGGGCGTGTCCACCCCTGGGGAGTGCTCGTGCAGAACTCCTCTCATCTTATTCCCGAGATACAGTGGTGGCGAACCTATGGCACGGGTGCCAGAGGTGGCACTCAGAGCCCTCTCTGTGGGCACGCATGCCATCACCCCAGCCAGGCCCAGACCATCATTAAAGTGTCGAATTCTCTGCCAAATAATTTTAAGTAAATCAAAGCATTTGGGATTGCTTTCCTTACTTTGTTTGGATCATCTTAAATTAATGTATGAGTTGTTTTTTCTAAAGTAAAACCTCAGTATTCAGGTTAAATTGCCGTGTTGGCACTTTGCGATAAATAAGTGGGTTTTGGGTCGCAGTTTGGGCACTCGGGTCTCTAAACGTTTCGCCATCACTGGAATAGACTGTACAGTCACCAGGGCTATTTTGGGGCAGGAACACACAGGAACGGAGTTCCGGCTGGCTCCTGAGTTGGCCACGCCCAGCAGGAACTCATTAGCATAATAGGCCACACCCAAAAGCAGAAACTCATTAGGATTGGCTACATTAGGGGTGTGTGGCCTAACATGCAAAGAAGCTCCTGCTACAAAAAAAGCTCTAGGTTTTGACAACAAACAAGGTAAACAGAATAAGAAGCAAAAGGTGGGTGTGGCTGGATGACCACACTTCTGGTAACATGTGGGTGTGGCCTAATATGCTAATGAGTTGTGCTATCAGGGGTGTGGCCTAATGTGCTAATGAGTTTCTGCTATTGGATGTGGCCTATTATGCTAATGAGTTCCTGCTGGGCTTTTTCTACCAAAAAAGCCCTGACAGTAACTACATATATACATGTTAGTAGCCAATCAGTACCTTGTGCCGAATCATTCTGACTCCAGCTCTCCAGCACTGGCTAAAACTAGTTTGCTCCAGCCTTATCTGTTAATTAGGAGCTGTCATCTGTCAGGCAGATGCATATGATCTGGAACAGCTTATGTCTTAGTACAATCAACACTCCCCTGAAGGGTATTCACTCTCTTCACGCAGCCTGGGGGTTTGACCGGCTATTCTTCTGTGCCTTCCACACAACACTAAGGGTGATTTCCCACAAGCGCTGCTCCGCGCTCACTCTTCTCTTTGGCTCGATGGTACGTGTCAATTTCACACAAGCTGCTGCGCAACTGCATTTTGCCCCACAGCTTCATGCAATTTTCCCCACGTCTACTCAGTCCTGTTTTTTGAGGACTGAGTAGACGCGGGGGAAATCGCACGAAGCTGTAGGGCAAAATGCGGCCGCGCAGCAGCTTGTGTGAAATTGACACGTACCATCGGGGCAAAAGGGAGGAGTGAGCGCGGAGCAGCGCTTGTGGGAAATCACCCTAACTGTAAAGAAAAAGTGTAATAGGATTTGGGCTGATTGGGCAAGACGAGAAGTCCTACCATGAACTTGTCAGTTTGTCCAGCTTCAAAGTTATCCGAGTTATTGTCCAGCTTCATTTCGTCTGACTTTCCTTTGTCACCAAAAATCTGGAAGAAGATAGGGGCATCTGTCCCCGCCCCCCTCATGTCACTTGTCCAGATCCACAGCGACCAAGGATTTTCTACCCAAAAAAGAAATCTAAATCACTGAAACGGCAACACTGGCGACAAACACCAAAGGGGAGAAACGAATACAAGACAAACGATAAGGTTGACTTTTTTTTTTTTAACTGCCACATGCGCGATCAGGAATTTTGCGCATGCGCAGTCGGGGTTCAGAACATCAGGTGCACAAAAGCCAACTGTATAGACATAGGTTTAGTCTTAATCCCCTCACTTCTGTTGAAGTTCTTTTTCATTGCTGTGAAGCGATGTTTGCCACACACAAATTGCTTTTCCGTTTAGAAAAGAGTCAACGAAGAGCTTTATAAAGCGATGCACCAAGAGAAAAAACTATGACCAAAAGAAAATTTTCTCCCTCTCCCAAAATTACTAGAACTCGAGGGCATCCAATGAAGCTGATGGGCAGTAGGTTCAGGATGGAGAAAAGGAAGTACTTCTTTACACAGAGAGTGATCAAATTTGTGGAATTCACTGCCAGAGGATGTCATGATGGCCACAGGAATCAACAGCTTTAAAAGGGGATTAGATGGGTTCATGGGGGATAGGTCTATCAGTGAAAACTAGTCATGGTAACTAAAGGGAACCTCCAGGTTCAGAGGCACTAAATCTCAATCCCAGAGCCAGGAGGCAACATCAGGGGAAGGTCTCGGCCTCTATGCCCTGTTGTTGGCCCTCCAGAGGAACTGGTTGGCCACTGTGTGAGACAGGATGCTGGACTAGACGGACCACTGGTCTGATCCAGCAGGGCTCTTCTTATGTTCTCATGAAGGCCTCGGCCTCTGTGCCCTGTTGTTGGCCCTGCAGAGGAACTGGTTGGCCCCTGTGTGGGATAGGATGCTGGAGTAGATGGACCCCTGGTCTGATCCAGCAGGGCTCTTCTTATGTTCTTATGAAGGCCTTGGACTCTCTGTCCTGTTGTTGGCCCTCCAGAGGAACTGGTTGGCCACTGTGTGAGGCAGGATTAGGGTTGCCAAGTCGTTGCAGTTGCCGCAGCGGGGGACTTCCGGGCGGCGACTGGAGTGTGTGTGTGCACACAAAGCACGCACGCGCCGCACTCACGTCACCCAGAAGTGACGTTAGGACACCGGGCATGCTGGGGGCGGGGCCACAAGCATTGGAAGGTGTTTGTGTGCACACAAAGCGCGCACGCGCTGCCCTAACGTCACTTCCTGGTGACGCGCACATTGGGGCAGGGTTCCCCCCGGGGCCCGATCCGCCGACGACGGGAAACGGGCCTCTGGGGCAGGGGTTTCCCCGCCCCCCAGGGGGATTTGGCAGCCCTAGACAGGATGCTGGACTGGATGGACCACTGGTCTGATCCAGCAGGGCTCTTCTTGTGTTCTTATGAAGGCCTCGGCCTCTATGCCCTGTTGTTGGCCCTCCAGAGGAACTGGTTGGCCACTGTATGAGACAGGATGCTGGACTGCATAGACCACTGGTCTGATCCAGCAGGGCTCTTCTTGTGTTCTTATGAATGGCTCGGCCTCTGTGCCCTGTTTTTGGCCCTCCAGAGGAACTTGTTGGCTACTGTGTGAGACAGGATGCTGGAATAGATGGACCCCTGGTCTGATCCAGCAGGACTCTTCTTATGTTCTTATATGTATGAGCCTAATTTACATTAAGTCCTTTACTTGTCCAAAAATTCTGGAATAACAGATGAAGGTTCTCCGGCATAGAGCTGCAGTGATGTGAAAAGGAAAGGCTACTGTATGATTAATAAAAGTGGATTTCCCCCTTCACAATGCCAGATATACTGGCCTCAAGCCATGGTCAATAATTATATAGTTCCTACAGGTTTCCCCACTAGGAAAAGCTAATTGGAGGGAAAACACTTCTTACTTTCAAGTGACGGGAAGAATAATTTGTAAGAAGGGTATCCACTCCAGAATTTAGGGGAGATTTGCATCACAAGTGTTAGAATTAAAGGACTGGGCACCGTCTCCTGCCTCAGCCTCCAGACTGCGTGGCAAGAGAGTCAGACAGCTAGATAAGCAAAGCTTCCTTCCTGTGTTTACTCTTCTGCCAATGTCCCTTTTTAAAATATTAAAATATAAGACTCTAGATTAACAGATAACAGAAAAAAGTAACATAGACATATACCGCTTGATCAGAGATTACAATATGTAAAATCATATAAATATATAGTGGATATTCCTTAGGACAAGGAGCTGTGGTGGCTCAAGTGGTTAAGACACTGAACTGCAGGCTGTGGAAGAAGAAGAAGAAGAAGAGAAGAAGAGATTGGATTTATACCCCGCCTTCACTTGGAGTCTCAGAGCGGCTTACAAACTCCTCTCCCTTCCCCTCCCCACAACAGACACCCCGTGAGGTGGGTGGGGCTGAGAGACCTCTTGACACAAACTGCTCTTTTTCAAGGACAGCTGTGCCAGAGCTTGTGACTGACCCAAGGTCACATCAGCAGGTGCAAGTGGAGGAGTGGGGAATCAAACCCGGTTCTCCCAGATTAGAGTCCGCACACTTAACCACTACACCAAACTGGCTCTCAGGGTAGTTCAGGTCGGTAGTTCAGCAGTTCGAGACCCAGGTTGCCGCATGACGGAGTGAGCTCCTGTCTCTAGTTCCAGCTCCTGCCAACCTAGCAGTTCGAAAGCAAGAAATTGCAAGTAGATAAATAGAGGTACCACTTCAGTGGGAATGTAACAGCGTTCCGTGCGCCTTGGTGTTTGGTCATGCCGGCCACATGACCACGGAAACATCTTCGGACAGCGCTGGCTCTTCGGCTTTGTAATGGAGATGAGCACTGCAACCCTAGAGTCGGATTCGACTGGCCTTTGAGCAAGGGAACCTTTACCTTTACCTTAGGACAAACACACAATATTAATAGGAGTTGTCAGACTCCTGGACGAGTTACTCTCAAAAACACTCTCTTTAGCAGTGATTCGTTTCTTTAGAAAGTAAGCAAGTTCCAGGTTAAAGCACCGCAGTGCTAGAACAAACGACTTTGACGGCTACCCTGATAATACAGGCAATTCAAAAGGACCCCTCCAATGCTCCCTCTAAGCTGTGGAGTCTTGCGAGCAAAAATTCGACTTTGTGAGCCACTGGCATTAAAGTGGTGAGTGAGCGATTTGGCCGCTGCATAAATCAGTT